AGTTTGAATTGAATTTACTTAACGCGAAATAAATACTAAAATAGGGATTTTCTATGCTGGGTTAGTAAAAGATAAAGCATAATTTTAATTGTATGTAGTTTCGATGAATACTATAAAAAAATTATACGCATTGTTTATATAAATTAGCTAACATTTACACATTTATTACGATAGTAGCGACGTTTGTTTTAGCCATGTAACAAAATAAACTATAAGCATTCTGATCAGTTATTTAACAAAAATATCAAACTTGTATCTTGTGAATTTTAATTCACAAACTTTTGAAATTTATTCTCATGCGCTATGGAGCTCACGAATATATTTTTTTTCAAAGAAAAATACTGAAATTCAATTATTTATAAAATTGATATTTTTGTTAAAAATGTTAGCTAATTTATATAAACAATGCGTATAATTTTTTTTATAGTATTCATCGAAATTACATACAATTAAAATTATGCTTTTTCTTTTACTAACCCAGCATACAAAATTCCTATTTTAGTATCATAAATAACATTCTGATATGTCGGTCATAAATTCGAATGTACATTTTTGTGTCGTAGTTTGTTAATATGATGCCGTCGCCACAGAAAAATAGAACATATTGATAAAAATTCTAGGCCTATATATATAGGGGCAATGGAAATACGTGGAATGTTCTATTATACTTATAGTTTTTTAAATCAATCAACTAAATCAGTCAACTGAATCAATGAAAGAATAATCGGTCTTTCTGATTTTAGTGTAATTCGATTTTAGTGTAATTTTGTAGACCGAACAAGAAGCAAAAACCGGTGTGCCATCAAGTTGCTGTCGTTTATTCACAATTTATTCAAATGCTCTTATTTTTTGGAACAGGGAACCTGAATTGTATCTGAACTTGTTGATCTAGTTTAAATTTGGAAATACTGAGGCGTTTTGACACAGCGCGGCTCTACAATTTACCAAAATTCAACCTTCGATTTTGCTTGAAATTAGCTCTGCACGGGTAAAATGAGTTTTGGCGTCTAACGAAGCCATAAAAAAGAATTTTCAAAAAATAAATTTATTTTGGACACTTGTATACCAATGCCTTTCAACACACAAAAAATAAAGGAAATCTATTTTCCGAAGTCAAAGTCATCGGACCGCTCTTAGCGGGACTGCCACTTAAAGCTGTTGGACCTAGGTGTTAGATCGTCCCTGTTGCCTTGGATTATCAACTTCCTAACTAACCGCCGTCATCGGGTCAAACTTGGAGGGAAAACGTCAGACTGGTTGCCAATGAATGCGGGTGTCCCCCAGGGAACTAAACTCGGTCCAATTCTGTTTTTGGCGATGATAAATGATCTCGATGTGAAACCACACGCAACGGATATTTGGAAATTTGTGGATGACATATCAACATCGGAAAATATCACAAAGGGCAGCAATTCAAAGTTTCAGTTCTGTATTGATACTATAAATTCTTGGGCTTCGTGCAACCTTATGAAACTTAACCCCAAAAAGTGCAAAGAACTACGCGTTTGCTTTCTGCGGGAATCACCTGATCTATCACCATTGTTGATCGACGGTCATGCGCTTGAGGTTGTGCGGTCTCATAAAGTCCTGGGTCTGGTTATCCAAAACGATCTTAAATGGAATGCACACATAGAATCAGTTGTATCCCAGGCTTCTAAACGTTTATATATCATCCGCATATTACGACGAGGTGGTGTCCCTGCGGAAGACTTATTGAGTATATACTTTGCCTTAATACGATCGGTTCTGGAGTACTGTTGTGTGGTATGGCATCATGCTCTACCTTTGTACCTTGCCGATGATTTAGAGCGAGTGCAAAAACGAGCGCTGAGGATCATTTTACTGGGTTACTCTTATAGGGAAGCATTAGCACAACTTGGGTGTTCCAGATTGGATGAAAGGCGAGAACGACATTGCCTCAATACTATGAAACGCATAGAAATTGAAGGACCACTGTCAAAATATGTTCCATTGTCTAGGGCTAGTTCAAATGATTATGAACATAGAAACTCTAACACATTAACAACAATAAAATGCCGAACAGAAAGATATCGCCGTAGCTTTTTTCCCAGTACAGTAGCTCTATATAATAGTTATAGTAAAGAAACTTAAGCGTGATACTTAATTACGATGATTTTAATGCAATTCAATAAGATTTTTAGACTTGATGCATGCAACTTAATTTTTTATATATGTAAATATATAGCGTACCAATTTTGTAAACGCACCATAATTCAATCTATTGCGAAGGTGTGTATCTTAAACCATTAATAATAATAATAATAATAATAATAATAATAATAATGTACAGTCAGTCTGTATAAAAGAAATAGAAAAACTCGTCTCGTGCGTTTACGGTGTGATAATGCACTCATGGAATGTTGGGAGAACACTCGAGAAGCGTGTAAAATACTCGACCATACCATTTTTGTATCTGCGAAGCAGAAATATATGCTGTTGCAAACGTAATGTTAATGTTACCGTATCCATAGCCATTCAGCGACGAGCTTATATAATTAAGCCAATTAGCGATTAGTTTACATCAATTGTTTACATCGTGCCCGCATGTAACCTGCGAACAGGCAAGAGACTAGTGAGCTTATTGTCTGTACTAAAGCTACAGCAGTTACCAGGGCAACATAGCAGTGACAGCCTTAGGTATTCGTATCAATCATGGACAGACCAATGTCCACATCGTCATACCATGAACAAAATTATCCAGAACTAAATAACGCTAAGAATAATTGTCGAACTCCCAAGAACTCAATTTCACCGTCGTGGAATCAGGTCTTTAGATCGATCGCCGCGAAAACATTTCGTGCATTTAAATTGGATAAGGTATTTCGCTACCAATCCCCTTAATTTGACTTGATAGCTAAATAGATGAAGAGGCAGTCAACGAATATTTCGTTGTTCTCTGTAGTGTCAACATAAATATGAAACTAGAATTCAATACTTTGATGACGGTTCTGAAATACTTACACTATCGACCCACATTTTGAGATTTATTTATGGGTAAGCCTGTGTCCATGCAGATTTCCCACGGCTTTTTCTGCATGGAGAGAACGTCTAAGTGTGCTTATAGCAGCGCTCCTGCAACTATTTAAATTTCAAAAGCTTTTTGAGAAAAAAGCTGAAACATCTAGATTTGCTAAAAGAAGGGAGCAAAGACGCAGAGGTTAATGAAGGTAATTTTGTTTTAAATATTGATGTATTGTTTGCTTTATAATTACTTTAAAAACCGATCGTTGCGTAAAATGAAAAAAAGACACGGTCAAGTAATTATAATTTCAGTGACAGTGTATATTTATTGATTACCTTTTTTATCATATTAAAATGTTATATAAAGGGGAAAGCAAATTGGATTTTACAATAAATCGAAGCTTACATTATAAGTATACATATGTACAAGACAGTACAACTGCACTGAAATGACCATTTGTGGGAGATACAAGAACAAGACCACCAAGCATTTGTTAAAGCGTGAATATATTAACCAACCAAGTTCGTTTCTTTGGCTGCTACAATACGTTTCCAGGCTGCGATCGCAGGCCAAGTGTATTTAGACCAAAGGAATTTTGTAAAGAGTCGTGTCTTCTTTTTACAAATGAGTGTAGTACGTTTGTAAAGAAGTGGAAAGGTTATGCAGGAGAAAATATATGCTCAGTTGTTTGAAAAGACCATTAAGACTCCCCTGAGCGTGTGTATTATGATAGGAAAGAAAGTCTGGAAAAGGAAGGTATGTTATTCGGTCATCGGTCCGTCGGTTTGTCAATCAGTCAGGCAGGCTCGGCTAGCTAGTCTATCAGTTATCGATCAGGTTATTCACTAAAATCGTTCTGTCAGTGAGCCGGTCAGTAGGATACTTAGTTGTTGGTTTGTCAGTCAGTCTTGGTCGGTCACCCGCCAGATCGGCCAGTTGCCTAGCCAAACAGTTCGTCGTCGGGTTCATCAGTTGATCAGTTGTCGATCGGTCGGTTTGCTTGTTGGTTGGTTGATTGGTCAGCTAGTCAAGTGGTTGGTCGGTCATGTTGGTGAGCTAGTCAATTGGTTGGTTGGTCATATTCGCCTTCAGCTCAGTGAATATAGCCGGCTGGTAATCACCTCGCCTTCGGCGACTAATTGTTAAATATTGAGATAATAGTTCTGTTAAAGAAAGGCGAGGTATAGTTCGCTGCTAATCTTAAGAAAAAAATGTTTTTCTCAATTCTTAGATTATGTTTATGCATAACATGTAGGTCTACCTAATTTTTCCTAATATAATTAATACAAAGTCCGAGTCAGGTATACCCACTAAATCAGTTGGGAAATTATCAGTTATCCAATTCTACAGGTGCTCTCTTCCAATAGAGGAGGCTGGACAATATTATTCTGCAAGGTGTGGTTTACTGGGTTGTTTACTTATTTCCCCTGATCTTGTAAGATCGACATAACAGTCTTAGAACATCCATTATTTTCCAGTTCTGGATTTTCTTTTGGTAATAATATTATAAGAAAAAAAAACTCCAAATAATAATTACAATTTATCTCGATGTCAAGCTATTCGGGTGCGTGTCCGCTGAAGCGAGTTTTGTGTTTATTGATCACTCCAAAACATGTATGAGAATTTTAATTTTCAAAAATCCCTTTTAGATCTTTTAGAATCTTCCGTTTCGGGATTTCTTGAGATTTGGGGGGATTGGTGTGGATTTTTTTAGATTTCAGTCATAGATTTGTAGAGGTTTTTAGGAATTTGATATTGATTTTTAAGGATTTTGTGGGATTTATTAGGGAGTTTTTTTCGAGGTCTTTGGAGTGGAATACTTTCTGTTATTTCATTTAGGTACCATATGCATGATCACTCGGTATAATGAAAATTACCAACATTTTTTTCACATCGGTAACTGCCACTGACAAACATCTGTTGCATAATTGTTCTCGGCGAAACCACCTACAATACAAGTACTCAAACTATACACAGCCCGAAAAACACTTCTTGTTGCACAACTTTAATATAACATTTAAAATTTGCAGGTATACAGATCAAAGTATATTATCTGGTTATTCGTGACTTCGTTAATTGTGACTAAATTGAAAAATTATTCTGTCGTTCTTCGTCTATACACCTCGACTTCAAGCAGGGCCATTGTAGTCCACCTTTTCTTTGGCATATACACGAATACATATCTTCCTCGTAGCATCTTGGGACATTGGATAATATTTGGCCCCTCTTTAGCTATTGATCGTCTACCACATTTTGTATTTGACCCCGCCTTGTTACCATTGTTCCCAACGGATACCTTGAAACCATTTATCCTCCAAAAACAGCATTCTCTTCTGTTCACCACGATCACAGTTGAAACCGTATCCTAAATACAATTAGTGCAATGATGCAAATATTAAATACCGAATGATTATTGCATTCCCCCCCCCACCCCCACCCCCCACCTTGCAATGGCCTAGTCGTTGTGTGGTTATTTGCATGTGTATCTGTCTGTGCATGTTTGACGATTAAAAAATACCACACTAATTAATACGAAAGTCAGTGAGACTAAAGACGATTAAAAAATACCACACTAATTAATACGAAAATCAGTGAGACTAATGACATTGCCCAAGGACAAATTCATTAAATTTTGGTCAAATTTGGAGTTTGGTCAAGTTTCCCTTAAGCTTGCTTTGCCGAACAGAGTAAATTGAATGCGTAATTAGCCCTTTTATAATTTATGCATGATACATAACTTAATTATTACCGTTATTACCGCTTAGTTTCTGACAAGAATATTTAGATCTCCTGTTTTTATTCAAGATGATGAATGGTTTGGTACATGTTAGCGATGACATTATTCCAGAAATGAACGTTGGGAACACGTGAGAACAACATGAGCCACGAGCAACCCAGAAAGCATCCTGCTCCGTGAGACGAAATGCAGAACGGTGCCATTCCAACGCTCGTTCATAATCAGATATGGAACATTTTGCCTGATGAACTGAGACATCAATCTTCAAGCTTAGTCAAATTTAAATCTTTATTACTCGATTATCACCGATCCGATCCGCTTTAAATCTGATCATGATAATCCACGGACATGAAATCTATCTGCCTGAAGTACAACAAGGCTAGAAGTTTGGCTAGTCCAATCTCTTGTTATTTTTAACGAGTTTGGAATTTGGCTTTCGCCGTACCGCTACATCTCGCTGACCTGGTGTGCATGTAATTGGTTAGCTCGATAAACTATAATATTGTTGGTGGCGGTGGAAGTTGAATCTTATTCTTGCTATGTATGCATTGCATTGCGTTGCGTTACATTGCATTGCGTTTCATTGCATTGCATTGCATTGCGTTGCATTGCATTGCATTGCGTCGCGTTGTATTGCATTGCATTGCGCTGTATTGCATTGCATATGCGCTGTGTTGTGTTGCGTTTCATTGTATTGCATTGCATTGCACTGCACTGCATAACATTCAATATTGTACTGTGCGATGTAGTTTTGTATTGCGATATATATGTTGTTTTATGTTGTATTCTTAGAATTTAGCAATTTTTTAAGGGCTCACAGTAATTGGTGTCCACTGTTGTGGTGACCCTGCCACTTGTTTGTTGTAAGTGGCGAAGTTTAATAAATAAATAAATTCGCGCGCTGGCGGAGGAAAGCTGTCTCCGAGTGCCCTATAGCTGGAGACATTATACTCATTAATGTTCATTTTTGTGGGCCAATGAAAAAGCCTCGTCGAATGGCACTCGCGACCCAACGTTTCCACACTCTGGTTTAGTGTCTTCATCTTGAGTTCATTCTAGGCAACGTGGATCTTTGCCAACTTTGCCCATAACAATTCTTAGTGGTGCAAACAACCCCAGTTTATCTTACCGCCAAAATTGCAGAAATAAGACTGGGACCATGCATATACATCTTTGACTCAATAATTGACAAAAAAATATACGGCGAAAACACATTAACATTAACATTAATGACATTGAATAAATCAGTCAACCTTAGGGACTGGTCATAAAGAAATTGCTAGGGTGGGCTGGAGGTAAATCACAAATTTGTGAATAAGTTTGGTGACCCATCTTAGAATGTAGATAAAAATTTCAAAGCCCATCTAATCTTACCAAATTTATTTAATGACCCACCCACTCAATCTAAATTGGGAAAATACACATTTATAATAAAATAAAAACTTGCAGGTATGAACATTGTAAATATACACTGGCACTGTATTGACATATATAATTCCACCAAGCCTGACCAACATATTCATCACCAATTAAGATACTGAGCAGCTCTCCAGTTGGTTGTATTCCCTGAGATTCGACCACTTCAAAGTACTAGCTTCAATAGCATATTTTGAATTTGATAATTTGGATAGTTTTGTTTACTTTTATTATTAATATCTTAGTTTATGTAATATATAATTAACATGGGTTTTTGTTTGGTCGCTCAACCGTGGACATACAAAAAATTGGAGGCCCATCGGAACTGCCCAAATATTTTCCATGGCCCATCAAAAATCACTCCATCAAACCCTAGCAGTTACTTTATGACCGGTCCCTTCATGGATATACACGTAGTCAATTAACCAAAAAATCAACCTTTCTTTCACAATACGTTTCATCAAATGAACTATTGAGAAAATATGCAGAATATATAAGACGAATGAAAGATTAGCAATGAATATGGGATAATGCTTATTGCGTGTTCAAATGGCTAGCTTCCTGCCCTATATGTGGCTGTCTTGCTAGAATTTTATCTCAGTCGTCGCATGCATCTAAGAAGAATGCTTCAAGATTAAGTCTGCGAAAAACCACGAGTTTTTTTTTATAAGTGTTCCGGTGTTTTCCTGTAGTAAAGCAGTTTAGAAAGAACAGTTTATGTGAGAAAAGCAAGCAATACCTCTTTTAGCAAATCGATTTTTACCCATGATCCATATTCAAAATTGGTTTGAAGAAATATTCCACTTCTGTTGCCATCAACCGCAACACTTGCAGGTCCACTATGCGTCGTCCAATGTGATGACATAGAAGCAGGTTTTCCAAGTGCTACGTTGGGATTGGGATCTACAAAAACACAAAGCATTATTAAAAGATAATAACCAGTAATTTGTAATTACTTCAGGATTTGATCGAATAAAAACGTTGAAGACATATTCTCACACATCATTAGATATTCATAGCATTTCCGCCAATGACATGGTGTAATTTACATCACGTGTATCTATCTAGATACCCCGTCTAGACCAAGACTTTAATTACTTCAAGTGGGAAGGGCTTGAACAATAGGGAAATTGAGGGGTACAAACAAAAGATTATGCAAATATATCTAATTGCTATGTTTAGAATTATTTCTAAAGACAGCAAGCTGTAGAAATAACTTCTAAATACACAAAAAAGATTAAATCACACTTCAAACAACAAAATATGTTGCTTTTTTAATCACACTAACAATAACACACATACAATTGACTTAGTACTACTTATTTCCGGCAAACAAAATGTTAAAGGAACAGTTAGTGAATGTACTGTTCGACAAAACAAACTTTTCGGCGATAGTACATCGCTGCACCTCTTTATCTTTATCGCTATAATTGTTTTCTATGACAAAGTTGCTTAATCTTAACTGTCTGTGTTCACATGCTCTTAACCCGAATATTTTTCCGCTATAAAATAAATTGTGTAAACCAAACTTTGAGCAGTTTTGTCTCCCAGCAAGCTTTTTGACCACAGCAAACCCTCTTCATCATCTGTAATAACTTCTTTCTCTCGTCTTGTACGCTTCTCCGCAATCGATTCGCCTTCACGGTGGGTGGCTTTCATTTCACTATCCAGCACTCTTCTGAACGTCTGGAAACTGAGTAATACACATGCTCACATTACAATTAATTAAACTAATTAAACCATTAATTAAAAATGAACAAATTCAACCTACCAGTAATTGTTAGCATTTAACATGTTAGCTTCAGCCCGGCCATTTTCGTCTAGATGTCGTTTCAATGAGCATATAATTTGTTATACTGTACGCCCGGGATATGGCTTGCCATCTTTGTCGCAAACTTCTTGAACAAATTTGATAACCAGAAGTTTAACGTTCTTGCCGTCATTGAACACAATTCTGTCTCCAAATTCTGCAAATCTAAGCTGAAAGGATTGCTCTCACATATGACTGCTTTATTTTCTCGCCCACTTTGCCATTAAATCTTCAAATATACGAACTCCCCAACGATTTTTATAACGCGACAACGCGTTGTTTGTGGAATAGCATTTCGGACGTTGTCAGTGCTTCTTTCCACGCTTTGAGGATCTCGAAATCTCCTCTTTTTGCAATTAGATGCCATGCTTCCCTCGAAGGCGAACAAATACTACAACAACAACGCTTTTAATTCGTTCCTTCACTGCAAAAAATCCATTTTCGCTTTGAGTTATTTTAACACATAAATTTGCGTAAAATGCAATGTTTACTCAGTTTAAGAGTATTTTTACTCGAATATGCTGAGTATACTCAGTAAACTCAAACACCTGAGTAAAATATTTTGAGTACTAAACCACTATCGTTTACGCAGTTATAATCGGTAAAATTACTCATTTGAGTAAGTTGCTTCATATTTACTCGTTATTCTCGAGTAGAATCGATGTTTTACTCTAACATTGAGTTAATATACTTTCCAGACTGATCGAGTTACTCAAAGCTGAGTAAAGACTGC